AATAAAAATCTCTGTACAGGCTTAACTCTGGAACTACTTATTAGATCTTTTTGATTTTTTTTTAAAACGAAAGAGTATTTCATGGAGAAGATTTATATGAATGAACGTTTTAGGAAAATCTACCTGTGTATTACATTATATTGGTTGCTATCGGTTAATCGGTTATGATTGTTGATTTGTATCTATTATTATTTTTTATACATATATATAATATATACAATAATATCTGATAAGTAGTTTCAGATTTTAGTCTGTATAGTTATAGTCTGTGTATTTATATAGTTAGATATATAAATAAATGTTTTCGGGTAGTTATAGCTAAAACCGCGGAATTAATGCATAAGGAGATCCCACGGAGTCGTGTCGTCGGTTTAAAATGGAAAAAAAGTCTTTATTTTGTTTACAGGCATCTATAGTTGCCAGTATAAAATGAAGACCGTGTTATTTTATACAGCAAATAATATATAGTAAACACCTCTTTCGAATTGACAAATTTATAGGTCTTGATCTGCAGACAGCGAGGTGGGGTAGATTTCGACTTATCCACTACAGATGAGCGACCAATTATAGCAGTGAGGCTAAGTTGGCGAGAGCTAAGAAGTTGTTGTTAGCTGTAAAATCATTACATAGTCATTAAAGATCGATAATATAATATTTCTTTGTCAGTCCATTCCACTTATTCTAACATAACCATGGTTTACATGTGACTTCATACTTACTATTTAATTTATCTAAAAATGTTGTCGTGCACAATTTACTAGTATATTTAATTTCAAAAGTAAAATTTAGTTCTAAAACCTAAATACTGACAATTTCAGATTTGGCTGGCGCGTCTATGAATTTTAACATTATTTTCTTGTTCCCGATCAAAGTGAATTACCACGAAGAACGGCAAATTGAAACACTCTTTTTACTTCCAGTGATAGTCATCTACGCCCAAAAAGAAACCGGTTTTAACCATTAAATTAAATCGTCGGACAACACTCCATCGCGATAGTACAAGTTACAACGAATTAAAAACGATATTGCAAAAATTAATTGCCGGAAATCATTAGTTTTTAATTGAAAATTACATTGAAGTCTGAATTTGGTGGTCAGACTTATTTGAAAGTTATAGGTATTTTAAATTTTGGGTATTTTCATGTATACCCGACGTACCTGGCTGCGATCGCTCCAGTGGCGCCGAACTATTTTTTTTTGTAGACGGGCAATGGAATTCAAAATGTACCTACCCACCACCCCCCTTCAACCCAATCCAAATGAAATATTACAAACTCAATTTACCTATTATACAAATTAATGAAATTAAGTTATGTTTGAATTGGGAACAAAACTAACTAACTAAATATAAATTATATTTTGTTATTAATAACATTAATTTATGTGATTAATAAATTTATTTTGTGTTATCAGTATTCAATATTATCACAATAAATGATAATGTACAGCAGCTGTTTTTTTGGTTAATAACTTGTTACCATAAAAATAATATTATATTTTCCCATATATTTAACAAATCCCGTAAAAAAACCGTCCTGAAAACTACGGATCTTATTACTTCTTTATCTATGGTACGGATCCTTCCCAATATTAATCCCAAAAAATACCATTTTGTAATAATATTTTCTAGGAATTTAACTAATCCCATAAAAAAACTGTCCTGAAAAGTACGGATCCTTCCCAATATTAATCCAAAAAAATGGTGTCTCAATTTATATAATTCATTTAAAGGATATTTCCCACGACTTATCATTCATTCATCAAAGTTATTCCTTAATAAATTCTGTCCAAAATAGTACGGGTCCCGGTAATTATCATCCTGATTTTTACGCGGGCCCCAATATGCATCCATCTACAACCACCTACAACGTGCTACAAGTTACAACTCTATGGATAGCTGATAAGTGGTAAACTGATAACCACGGACTAAGATAGTACTATCTTAGTCCGTGCTGATAACTGATCACTGATTGTGTGAAAGTAACCAATATGGATTGTGGAACGTGGAAATGGCACACCAGTCACCACGGCTAGTCTGTACACTTTTTTCAAAATTATTTTAACTTGTGCGTAATTAGCTTATGTTATTCACTAAATCTATGCTGCCAAACTTAACAACAATTTTAACAAAATGTTCTATTGCCTTTATTTCATTTAATATTATATATCTCATGTTTTGTGGACATACTTGATGAGGTAAGAACTTTTATATTTTTAATAGGTAATTTTTTTTTTTTTAATTTATTGTTTTATTTTAGTTGATACTGAAAATTTAAGTTTGATGAATTTAATTTGTCGTCAATCACTACGTCATTACAAAAAAGAAAAATTTATTCAATCAAACATAACTATTATGAACGCACTATTGCCACCAGATGAAGTACGAGGTATGACAGTTTTTAAAATTGATAAATTCACAAAACCTGTAACTGTACCTGTTTTAGTAATAAATAAAAATTACGTCGAAAGTGCTAATAAAGTATTAAAAAATTATATTATTAAACTAAACAACTTCAAGCCAATTCGTAGTGGCTCTAATGACTCTGAATGTGCTTTTTATCTTGATCCAGCCAAATTTTCTTCGTGTGAAGATCTTAATTTAACCTTTGTTTCTGCTGAAAATTTGAAATATGTACAGATTGAGGTGGGTTATAATAATTGGAACCACGATGAAATACTCAAAGCAGTTCTCCCTGAAAAATCTATGTTATCAAGTTATTCAGCAATCGGATCAATTGTACATGTGAATCTCAAACCAGAATTATTGGGTTATAAGGATATTATTGGACGAGTACTTAATGACAAACTTAAGGGATGTAAAAGTGTTGTGAACAAAATTGATAGTATAAATAATGTATATAGAAACTTTGAATATGAAATTATTTATGGTTCAACTGATTTAAAAACCACAGTTAAAGAAAATAAATGCTTATTTGACTTAGATTTTTCAGAAGTTTATTGGAATCCAAGATTATGCACTGAACATGAACGTATTTTAAATAAACTTAAATCAGGTGATGTTTTGTATGATGTGTTTGCTGGAATAGGACCATTTTCTGTACCGGCTGCAAAATTGGGGTGTATAGTTTTAGCTAATGATTTAAATCCTAATAGTTGTAAATGGTTAGAAATAAATAAAAAAAAGAATCGTATTAAAGATGAACTTTTAACAATTATCAATAAAGATGGAAGTAAATTTATTCAAGAAGATTTGAGGACACATTATATTTTGTGGTCAAAGAAAATCACTTCAGAAACTAATGTACATGTGACAATGAATTTACCAGCAATTGCTGTTGACTTTGTTAAACATTTTAGTAATTTATTTGAATGGGAAGAAATATCTGATCATTCTCTACCAATTTTGCATGTTTATACGTTTGTAAAAACTGATAACAATTATGAAGAAGGCTTAAAATCAATAATGGAAGAATACTTTAGTAATATCAAGGATGATGACATACAAGAAATTATAAGAGTCAGAAATGTAGCACCCAATAAGGAAATGGTTCGAATTACATTTCAAATGAGGAAAGATATGTTGTGTAAATCTGAAAGTATTAAAAAAAGAAAATTAAATGAAATTAAAATTGAACATGATGTCAAAAAGAGTAAAGATGATTCATAATATTTGTAATTTTTATACTAAATATTTATCAATATCTATAATTAAAAATAAAATATAATTTTTTATTAAGTATTAATATTGTTGTATTTTTTTAACTTATATTTTATTTTACTTTACTTTTACAAAGTTCTAAGTGCCATAGCAGTTTATTTTTGCCTTTAATTAATAGTTAAATAGTTTGAATATATGTGTGATTAGTGATAATTATTCATGTGTTAATGTTAAAAAAATGTTATAAAGATAAATTTCAGTGGAATTTTTTTAATTATTTCTTTTGCAATTTAATATGTCTTAAACAGTCCTATGTTTGACAGTAGTGTTACCTCAAATTAGATTTGTATATTTTTATTTGTCATCATTCATTGTAATTATTATTTTTCATGAACTACTGTTTAGAATTTAAAGCCCATATAACTATCAAAATAAGTGCTTCAAAAATAACTTAAATCTTCATTACAAGCAGTTTAAAACATTAAAATAAGCAATGATGTATATCCACCCCCCCCCCTTCAAACATCAACAATTAATAAATAAAATAGGGTCATCCCACAAAATCACGTTTTTCCTGTTATTTTATAAAATCCTAGACATTTGTATCTGTGTAGATAATACTTTTCTATGACTACTAAAACCAATTAGCTCTCAAATTAGGAAAAAAATAAAAATTTGTAAAAAGTATTAAAAACATTAATTATTTAAAATTAAACTACTACACATTCACTACGGTGACATTAAATGGCGTAATTTAACATTGTCCGCATATTCTGAAAGACGCTAATTAGCGTCATATAATTTGTTATTAAATGCACTATAATTTGGTCAGCATTACAATATTAAACTATTAGTTTTTGTTAGTGTCACCTATATGTATTAACTATAGGAGATCTAAACATAAATTGAATAATAAGTCATAAACTAATATTTCAATTTTTTAATTTTTTAAAAAAAAACCCAATTTCTTCAGTGTTATGATAAGCATAATTAAATATGATACACAACAAATGTGTTGAGTAAAAATTAGCACTTTTGAATTTCATATTTAAAATCATAGTAAGATTACATACATCTTCATAGCACTGCTAGATTTTATGACAAGCCAAAAGAAATACGCTAATGCTTAAGTCCCAAACTGTATAAAATTAATACTAATTTTTGAGTCAAATGGAGTTACTAACCATTAATTTCAATTTAAAAAAAAATATTTAAATATTTATAGTTATGATTAGATATTAAATTATATAATTAAATATTTTTATTTGTACTTTTTTAATTAACAAAATAATTTATTAATATATATATATTTATTTATAGAACTAAGAATTGTTGCATGTTGAAGAACTATGAAAACTCAATTTAAAATTTACATGAAAAGATGACAATAATGGAAAGTACACCTGACTCTGTGTTCAACTATGTGTTTAAACGAATTATTTATTTTAATTCAAATTGCAAAGATTTAATCATCAAAACTTTAAAAGTAATAAAGGATGAAATATTGAAAACGAATAGCTGTGATACATTTGAATGTATTGTCTATATAGATTCTTTCGGAATCTATTGTAATAATGAAAATGTAATCAATCAGTTTGAACGGTTTTTAGTTAGTAAATTACCAGATAATACACTTATATACCCACATTATACAGTAAATTCAGTAAATTTTGAAGATATTAGGAGGTTTCAAACACATACACATTTACCTCTTGGACGGTGTATTTTAGAGGCAATACAGGTACCCGGTTATATTTTTTTATATAAATGTAATTTAGTATGATATATAAATAAACCATATTTATAGGTAATTAAAGAAAGTATTGACAAATTTACATTAGAAAAAATATTTTTGAGTTTTAATGGTGGAAAAGATTGCGTTGTTTTATTATACTTGTTTCAAGCTGTGCTTGAAGAATTAAAATTCAATGGACAAATCAAAGCTGTTTTTTTTCAATCAGATGATCAATTTTCTGAAGAAGAAGACTATGTAGAATCTACAGTAAACAGGTGCATTTATCAAAAGTCGGAGGAAAAAATACTTCAATACCAATAATAATAAATAAAATAAAATATAATAAATAATAATATATTAACCCATTATGTCCTAGCTCGCCCACATGGTATTGCAAAAAATAATTTCTAAAAATAGCTGTATAAAAAAATAAAACAATATAAAAAAAATTACTTTGGACTTAATGGGTTAATTCAGAAAAAAAATTTTTTTGATTATGAAGTAGTATAATTTACTTATTATTTTGTTTTGATCATTATTTTAGGTTTAATTTAGACTTAACAGTAATCAAAGGTGAACTTAAATCTGGCCTTAATGACTTTTTGAAGGAGAATCCTCAGTTTTGTGCGTCTATCATAGGTACAAGACAATCTGATACGGGTTCTACAAAACTTCAGTTCTTTCAAGTAAAATAAAAATGTTTAGTTTCATATTAAATATTAATACTATTAAAATGCACTTCTTATTTAAAAACATACAAATAATTTACTATTTTCAAGGTAAAGTAAATAGAATTTTTTTGTTAATATTATAATTAAAATTAAAATACATTTCATGTATTTAATTATTATATATTGATATTAAACTAATACACAATTGTAGGAAATCAATTCATGTTAACAATTGTAATTATTATCTAATACAATTTTAAAATATTTAATTAAATAATAATATTTTTTTAATATGAAAATTATTGAGTTTAAAACTGATTATTTTTTATGAATAATTTCAAATAGTATTTTAGACTTAAGTGCTATCTAATGACATTTAAAAACCAGTGTTGGTAAGGTATTTAATTACTGGTTAGTGGTTACCTACCCATTGAATACTATATGTATATATTTTTTTCTGTGATCACTTGATAAACAACATTTATACTAAAGACACAAGATAGAGAATAATATTTCTGAGGGAATGACATATCGATTTTATATTTTATTGTTATTTGACTGAGTAATTGACTTTTAAAATAAACAAAAAAAAATGTTGTAAATTAAAATTATCTTTAAATTGTTTTGAGAAAATATTTAAACAAATCAATATGCCATTCCCTCAAAAATATTATTCTCTATCTTTTTTGTAATGGGTGATTTTGCTCTAAGATTACTTAAAAACATAAAAAAAATAATTCTGCGTAAATAAGTTTTGTCTATGTCACGTGTGGGCCTAACCTTATTCTGCAACTCTATTAATATATCTTACATACAATACAAATTTTACATAATATATTATTGTTTTAGAAAACCGATCCAGGCTGGCCTGTATTAGTGAGAGTACAGCCTTTATTGCACTGGAATTATGATAATATTTGGTCATTTTTGAGACAATTCTCTATACCATATTGTAGCTTGTATGATAAAGGGTAAGCAACTTAAAAATCAACTGATAAAAAATAATTTTATTATGTACTTAGATTATATAGCTACAAAGTACAAATACATTTTATTTTATAGATATACATCTCTTGGTAACAAATCAAAAAGTCACCCTAATCCAAATTTAAAGTATATAGATGAAAATACTGGAGAAGTTAAATATTTGCCAGCATTTTTGCTTCAAGATAGCAATTCAGAGCGAGAAAATAGATTGTAACATGTTAGATGTATTACATTTATTAAATTAGGTGAAGGTGTACAATTAGTTAAAACAAAAAAAATAATAAACCAAACATTTTGTTATTTCATTAATGACATTTTATAGTTAATGTGTTGCGCACTCCAATTTGCCAAACAGATGCAGTATCATCAATAAGAGCTGCTTCAATGTGTACTTGATGTTGACTTCCTTGGTTGAAACTCAGACAAAATTCTGAAGCAAAGAAGTCCTTATGTGGTTTTACTGTTTGTGTTAACATCAAATTTCCTTCGGTTGGTCTAGTATCATGATTTCTAGTCACTAGTTGTGACATTATTGTTAATTGAATTCCATCAACTTTACGGAATTTAGCTTTGGTTCCATGTTGTACAACTCCTTCAACTTTAACTACAAAATTACTCCCCATATTTACTGTAATTGGTTCACCATTAACTCTAGGCTGAGGTGATACAGCCAATGTTATTGTAGTAGATTGTAAAGTTTGGAAAAAATAACGTGGAAAACACATTGGTGTAGTTACCAAGAGGGAAGCTTGTTTTTTGAGAGATCGTATATGTTTATGAGTAATTGCTTTTTCTTTTACTGTACTCATTATTTCTAAGAGCTCTTGTCTACATTTGACAATCAATTGTATTTCTAAAGAGCCTTCTTTTTCCAATTCAGAATCTAAGACAGGACTTTCGCATTTGTTTGGAACTGCAACAGATTCAATATTATGAGCCATCAACAAACACAAATGCTGTAAGAGCTGTAAGTGATATAATGTATTAGGGTCAGCGTCAAATGCTGATTGGTATAATCTCCAATATAAATCTGCACATCCCTTAAACTCCTTTGCTCTTTTTCTCAATTGATTTGTTATGTGACCATAACTTTGCATTTCATCTCTAGTAGCTTGCACAATTGCTGAAGCTATAGCTGGCGGCGGAGTAGTGCAAAAACTGTTGCATGTAGACAATAAACGCATGAAACATTGCAGTAGCTCACAACGCAAACGTGTGTATTCCGTTTGGAATATAAGCATTAATGATGCGGCTTTTAATGCAGCGATTGCTCTGTAGTAAGTAGATATTGATTGACCTAAGTTACCCAATAAATGTGAAGGATTTGAAGTCAGTTGAGATTCTGCTGTACTAATAGTTTCTAATGCAGCTAACCAAAAATGCATTTGTTCTGAACCAACACGATTATTTAGGCTACCAAAAATTCTAGAACTTATGTAAAAATGACCATATCTAACAGCTGCTCGACCAATTTTATAATTGGTCCATAGATCAGTATTTTTTATTACATCATTAATTACTTGTTTCACATCATCATATTCTTCATAGCCAGCAACAGCTTGGAAAATCACAGTACATAACAAAACCTTTGTAGCTATGGACTCATGGTTTTTATTTTTATTTAAATTTGTCAATTGTTTTATAAAAACTGGAAGAAATGGTAATAAAGTACCAGGTAATATACCACCAAAAGCAGCAATAGCTTCACATATTAATGGATTTAGTTCAAATCCATCTTGTTGCAATGGTTTAACAACAAGTGAAACAAAATCTGGGATCAAACTTTTATTTGCCTTGCATAGCATAACAGACGATCGTAAACCATCACGAAGATAGTTTGATCCTTTATCAGAGTTTTCAGGAGTGGCACCATCAACATCCATTGGCTCATTAATATTATCCAATTTTAAAATATTATTAATAATGATTTGTTCTTCATTGCTTAAGTTTCTGATATCATCAAACTGTTGTTGTCCAGCTGATAGTACAGACAAAAGATAGCTTTGTATGCAAACCTTCAATATATTGGCATCATTTTCTGACATAATTTCTTCTTCAAAACAATAACATGCTATGTTCGTCAATACTTTAACAGCATTTCCAGCAACTGACTGATGCAATGAACTCGATTCAGCAATACACATTTTTATAAGTAGACTGTCTGTACTGTAATGAAATTGGCATATAGCTGGAGATTTTGTTAATGGTATGAATACACTTATAGCGTCTGCTTTTAAACTATTGTCAACATTTAAGCTCTGGCAAAAACTGACCAAGTTGTTAATGGTTTGTTCAGACCAAAAATGTGCACCTTCTTTGGCAATCTGATAAAGGCCGGATATAGCACACTTGCAAACTAAAGGTCGTTTATCTTCAGTCAAAAATTTCAAAAGCAATTCTATTTGTTTCGGAACATCAACTAAAATAGACAAAGCTAATTGATTAAGAGTTTTCAATGTAACTAGAACAAAATCTTGAGCTGGATATTTCTCTAGCAAATCAGTACAAAGTGTTCTGACCATTGTCGCAGTAGTTGTGTCGTGATGCATATGTTTTAAAATAGGAATTAGTTCAAGTTTCATAACAACATCAGTTGAAATACCTCTGATCATATTTGAAATTTTACTGCACATACTTACAGCAAATGATTTTGATTGGGCTGCAAATTGTGCTGCAGCATAAATCGCAGATTCTACTTCGACAGCATTGTGAGAATCTAAACTTGTACGTATACTGTGGTGCACTTGTCCTCTTTCTGGTATAATTCGTGCAACGCTGCCCAACGTACGTAAAGTCAACCCTCTAGCAACTGGGTCGTTGGAGTGAATTACACTATAAATTCTACGAACAAACTCATCAATATTTAAAATTTTGTCAATGTGCTTTTCTGTCTGCTGGCATACTCGTAACACCCAAAGTCGAAGGAAATTATTGCCGAGACGAAAAACATCAGCAAGCTTCAAGAATGACGAATTAATAAGAATCGGAAAAGGGTATTTTTCAATTAGTCGAGGAAAGCGTACAATGGCCTCGCATTGTTCACCAACACGACTGGACCGTAGGCCTTTGTCGAGTTCAATTAAAGCAGAATTGGCATCTTGATCAGGTTCTCCTAGGAGGGTTTCACAAATGGCACTCCTAAGAGCTGGCATCTCGAAATAACGTGTTATACACAATTAAAACTTATTACTTAATTAACTACTTAATAACTGGAATTAAATTGAGAATGTCTGCTATTAGTATAACACGTTACACAAATACATCCCGAATTCCCGATCAATAACTGTATTCAGTGTTGTAAATTATAATTTGTCAGTTGTCTTGCTAGTAGGCACTAATAAGTGATAAGCCCGAAGCCGCTTGTAATAAGTTATGGTTGTTGCTTTGCTTTAATAGTGTAAATACTAAATACTAAATACCACGGACTAAGATATTATACAGGACTGGAAACGGAGTATTATACTATTATCAGTGGAACCCAAATGTTTTCATATGGTACATCACGGACACCCAGCGCCATCTATTTAGTGGATTTAGCATTGAACTAAAATAATATGAATACCAAAACAATTTTTATTATAATAATTATTATAACATAATATTATTCTTTATTTCTTTTCAACATAGGTAGGCATTTTACATTAAAAAATATATATTTTGAAACAAAGATATAACTGTTACCTATGTGTGAACTAATTTTGCAAACTTTTTGTATATCTTAGTCCGTGGACAAGACATATTAATAATTTTATTTTTAAATAATATAATATATCATTATTTTTTACTATTTTTATTTTTTGAAATGTTTGTAATGTCGTTGCAAAGGTTTTCAAAAAAATTTAATATACTAAACTACACATTATTACAGTTATAATATTATAGTAAAAATGTTCATTATATAGTATTTAATACTATTTATACTATATTTATACCATTAATATTTATTTTACTTCTAGAAAAGATATATTAAACAACTTGGACGAGGGTTATAGACATTTGTACTAAGATTTATAATTTATTTCTACTGGATTAATCTTCTTTGGCCATCCCTGAACTGAATGTTTCAAATATATTATTGATAGGAGTATAAATGAATCTTATCTTATAAACCCCTATAACCTATTTAATTATTTCTAGTTAAATTAACTACCTACTATTTATCTTTAAAAAAATTATAGTAGTTTTGTTCACTAATAATGTTATTATAAAATTACAGAAATAAACAAAAATTGTTGGAATTTGGTAATGACGTAATGTTGAAGATGAAGGAGAATAACCAATGTTTTTTTATTTCTGATGAAATTTTTTATTTTTAATAACTTATTTTTGCAATCATTTAATACAATTTATCATCAATTAAACTTGTTATTAACTACACCCATTGTCTTTTTAAGAATTGCTAATTTATAAATATTTTTTAGTGATTTTATACCTTGTTATTTAAATACATTTGTATTATGATATAATGATGATATATCAAATTGTGATTTGTTTTCTTATAATAAAGAGTTGTAGACTAACACATATGTATATTCTTGGGATTTGATTGTTACTTACACAGGATTTAGTCATTGTATTTGTGTACTCCATACTTTCTATTCAGTTTTGTGTAACTTGCTTCATAAGCAAAACTGATTAAATAATTTAGCATATTTTTTTGAATTTAGAATACCTACTTAAGATGGTACATTTGATTTCAAGACATTATAGGCCGATAGACGATCTTCTCTCAGAATTGCAGTGGCGGACTGGGAGAAAAAAACAGCCCGGGAAGATCATAATTTTAGAGGCCTGAAGTATACTAACGGCCCTTTATATAATATACCACAGCAAAAACCCTTCGTAAACTACGTGTAAAAATGGCTAAGTAAAAAAAAATATTAGATCTTTAAGCACTAGAAAGATGTGATATCATGAATAAATGCTAAGTATATTGAATTTAAGTAAACTTATTTTTTTCAATAATTTATTTACTTGAAGAGGAATTATTTCTTAAAAGAAACAAAGTGTGATGAACAAAATAATTAAATGTCGAAGGACTATTAAAATATAACTTTTGATTATTTAAAAAATATTATTATTAATATTTATATACTATTCTAAATAATTCCTCGCCAAGTACCTAAATAAATTATTGAAACAAAATAAGTTTACTTAAATTCAATATACTTAGTATTTATTCATGATATCACATCTTTATATTGCTTAAAGATCTTATATTTTTTTTTACTTAGTCATTTTTGCATGTAGTTTAAGGGTTTTTGTTGTGATATCACTAATATTTATCATTATTAAATATTGAGTATTTACACAATAATCTATATAAGAACGGTAATATTGTTGGTAACAATGTCAACGCTGATGCGACGACGACGGCTACCGTGATTCTGAATTTAATATAAATTAAAAATTTCCATTAAAAAGTTCGCACTTTTTCATTTATAACTTCATTTCTAAACGTACTATTTAAGATTTTGATGATTTTTACAAAAGCACGTTATACACAATATTTCTGATGTTTTGGAGTTTACTAGGAGTTAATTGATGCATAAGAAAATAGTTATGTCGTATAACAAATTTACCTGTATTTTACACAGTTTAAATATAGGCAACTCCTGCTTCGATATACTATACACACACCTTCGTGCAGTTATTATTATTTTTTTTACTTAGCTCGCGCCACGACCGTGTCGGTGCCCGGTGGATATAAATAATAATAGTCTTTAGAAAAATTAACGCTCTATTTTGTATTAAGTAAATCTCATATTGTACTTAATTGTACTTTATTGTTATTATTTGTATTTAAATTGAATGTCTAATTTAAGAGCCTCTCACCCAAGCTTTTGCTTATAGGAGGTGAGCAGACTTACTTCTGTATTTATAATTTACAATATGTTGGGAATTGTTTGCAAATAAAATAAAATTGTTATTATTAACGCGCTTGAAATTCTAATGCTGCGGGCCGACGAGAACGATAAAAATACTAGCTGGCTAGTAACACAAGCCGTCGTCTGGGAAATTTTCTCGGAGATCGGTCTATGTGTTGAACGATTTGTATTTAGCTCATTCTCGATTAAATCCAAACGCAAATATTATCTTCTTTCAAAAAATAAAATATGGCAAAAAACTTTAACAACATCGACCGAGCCGCAAAAACATAATATTACTGGAAATGGTGGAAGAAATGTTGGTCAACAAGATGGAACTCGCTTTGGCCGATGAAACCGACGAATATCTCGTTGTCGTTCTTGTAGTCGCTCCACTTCTATCTGCCATTGTTACGGTCGCCACTACAGCGACGTTCAGACCCTGGAGTCGGAGCCCGAAGGCTCGACTCTCGGAGGCGCAGACGGAGAGGAGTTGGCTGAAGACGTCGAGGAGACCGTCTCCCCGCACTGTGACGGAGTGCCGAGCGGCGACGCGCTGTCGTCTGCTGCAGAGTCGGAGCTCGGTCCGATCCCAGAGACAGCACCGCTCGGCGACGACGACGACACAGTAAGAGAAGACGGAAATTCGAAGGTTTCTGAAGCAGAAGTGGAGGATGTTTTGTGTCCAGAAGACGATGTATCGGATGAAAAAATCGAGACCGCCACAGAAGAAGGCCCCCTGGGCGAAGACGACGGACAGGAGATGACGGCGACGGAATGGAGGGGAGGATGCGGGAAAGAGCACGGACGGTGCGCGGCGGTAAGTCACCCGCGCACGTTCTCCGACCTGCACCCGCGGCGCGACGGGTTCGCTGGCGTCGCGCGCTCGGTCGTCGATGACGCGCGAGACCCTCTGGCGGCGAGATTGCGATGGCGGCGGTGGACGGCGGCTAGTAGACGTACCGGCGCGGGCAACGATTCCGACCCGACGGTACACCGACTCGGTACGACGGCACCGGCGGAGACCTCGGCACGGAGTGAGTGGTACGGAGATTCGAGTGCTAGGAACACGGGGACGTCAGCGGCGCCGGACTCGCAGAAACTTAACCGTTTCAGGGTCTGGGGGTCAATTCTCGAAATCATTCGACATAATACGTCGATCAAGTAGTATACGACAATAGTAGAATGATATTGGCGTATACGCCGAATCACATCTATTGCTACTTATTCTTGAACACCAAACGCCAAATACATTGTCGAACGCTACATTTTGTAGAGTGGTGACGTCAAGTCGTATAAACCACGATTGTGGTATATGAATTATCTGTAGTTATTTTCAAGATAAGAACTCAAAACTTGATAGTTGATAGTGTGATAAGGTTTAATGGTTTTAGTGTTTTACTCAGTACTCTATAATATTCTATAGGCTTGTATACTGTTATGTCGTTACTCGTTTACTTTATGTTCATATTTTATAATATTGTTAGAAGTTAGAACTCAGAGTTTGAAATATTGAATATTTTTTATTTTTTTATTATTTGTATATCATTATCTTTACGCAATGTCGAAAGACTCCACTGAAATTTCAGGCCGAGCAACCACCGACCAAATGATTGCTTTGAACGGCTTCTTAAAGGTCGATCCACAACTACTAAGTGGTAAGTTTAGTAGTACGTTCACCTTTAAGATTGCTCAAAAACGATGGGAAATTATTGCCGAATCATTAAATGCCATGCCCGGGGCTGTTAAAAGTTGGAACAAATGGCGTAATGTGAGTGCTTACTTTAAAATGTAGTTGGTGTTTACAACAATCTTTTGTATTGTATTTCAGACATTCCAAGACAACCGTACTAAGGCAAAATCAAAACATTCAATGATTCGTGCAGATATGAGGAAAACTGGTTTAAACACTCCTTGCTCTAGCCTTTCTTTGATTGAAAATGATACGTTGGACCTGATCAACCCAACTAGCATTTCTGGTCACACATCAAGCAACGCTTCTAAAGCCTATTTTGTGTTTGACGATAACTGTGATTTAGGGACACAACCACTTGATGACAATATTGTCACAGTTGATCTGAGTGATGTCTTGCTACAGGAAGAAAATTCCATTCCATTTGGTACCTCTTCATCTCCTCTTCCAAATCCTAACATCAGTTCCATTAATGATCCAATCAAAAGTATGTTCAAATTAAATTTTCCTATAAGAGCTGTTGTTAGCTTAACCGTTCAATTTTCCTTAAATTTCCTTTAACCGTTTCTTTTCTTACATTTCAAATATTTCA